CCCCGCCCACCACCGCCCCTTGCGCGCACCAGCACCTCTCCCTTTATCTCTCAGCTGGCAACCACCCTTCCTGTCTACCTATAGCACATACCCACCCTCCACCCTTTCCTCTCACTTCACCCTCTTAACCTTTCTCGTACTCAACGGCATGAACCTAACCTCTGAACCGACCCGGACCGGTAGAGAGGCCGCCGCACCAGTGCTACTCCTTGGCCAGGCGCTTCGGGGGAAGGAAGAAGAAGGCTTATTCAATTTTACGTAAGCTCTGCCCTACGTATCGTCAACGCTTACAGTAAATCAGCACTGCCAACATTCCCAGCGCTATCAACGCCATCGTTATCAAATCCCCCGAGCCCATTAGGTACGTCGCGATGGTCTCGCTTACATCGTGCATACTCGTGCTTAAATACTGGGCTACTCGAGTTCACTTTGTTTTATGCGCTTCTTCCTTTACTTTTATTTCAGGCTTCAGTCCTCGTTAGAGCCGGTGCCAATAAGCAGGGATTATACTAAACACTTTTTTCCGACAATAGTGTAATTAGCACAGTGAGCATAGTTGATGTGGAGGGGTAAGGTTAGGGGCGCCTGGAGATAGGCAAATTTATGTACAAGATACACTGCCGCCCGAGGAAATGGAGTTTGCCTATCTGCAGGCGCGTTTCCCTTGTAGTCTACTGTTTCGTAATGGAAAAAGGCTTTTACTTCGTTCCAGCTGAAAATTGTACACTGGTTGGTAATCCTGTGACTTTCGGATTCTGTTTGCTTTGAGCGCGGTACCCGTGAGTATTTGTATTAAACGGTGGATCGATAATAGTTACAGATTGATTGTTTGAATGTGGTTACGTTGGATTCGGGTTTTTTTTTTCAATTTGAAACGCATTTGACTTTAGAAAGATCTTTGTTATTTGGATTGGAAACTATTTTTATCTGATGTCATAATTTTGCGAGTCTCTGCTCTCTCTCTCTCTCTCTCTCTCTCTCTCTCTCTCTCCCCCTCCCCCTCCCTCTCTGTCTCTCAGGGAATGACTTGTCGCTTCTCAAGAACTATTCCAGGATTTTCAGCGGTTCGTGGCTCATGCACTGAAGAACCAATAAGAAAATTCCACGCGTTAACGGGACATTTACGATGGCGATACTTTAGCGCTTAAGCGTTGACGATTTATCATTAACTTTTATTCCCTATTTATTTTTTTTTAATTTTTCTTCTCCTTGCCTCGTCGGTTAATCTACACTCTGCGATGACGATCGTGGCAAATTAGTCGTTAATTAGAAAGCTGATGCCATCGGGGGCGTCATAAACGTTGAATAGCCATCATTGTACAACATGCACATGGGCCTTATGGAGTACGGACTGAAGTAAAATAGCACGTGCCACTGGTTATAGGACCAGGGCCGTACTAGATTCTGGTCCAGGAGCGTATCGTAATAGAAACTTTTCTATGTTCCAGGTACACGAAGACAGTAGTGGATTCCAGCCTGGGAGCACAAAAGTACAATCCAGAGTTCAAACTGACAGCTATCGGCACAGCGGACACATCCGCCTACAGCAATCCGAACATCAGTGAATTGATTGACCAGCTCAGACACATTACCCAGGTCGAGTACAGCATCCGAGATCCTTGATCAACTAGAAGTATCAGTAAATAAATTCATTATAAATCTGTGATCATCGTCCGTACAGGTGGTCCAGTCTCATCTGACGTACCCGTCATCAGCGATTGGACTTTTGGCTGACGAGGCTGCGGATGGTTCCGGAAGCGGATGGAGACCAGAGATGGAGGATGACGATGATGGTAGAAATGGTGGTGGCATTCATAATAGACATGACGATGAAGACGACGATGGCAATTACTCGGGATCCGGTATGGGATCCACGACTATCGGTACGATACACCTGTGGATTGGTATTATCCAAATAGGCATAATCAGCGATTCCCATAATGCAGTGGTAGAATTATGTAACGCCAGGATCGATTTTGTTAAGCTGGTCGTGCGTTAAGCCCCAGGAGTTAGGTGTGACCCTAGGACTCTGTTTTACCTACTTGATTATACGCCTATGTAAGTAGTCTGGCTGTGTGTACATACGCGTACACGCACACGGAACCCTCTCAATTAATCAATTTCATCGGTTTAATTGCCTCGCGGCTTCTACCGCGTCTCCACCGACTGCTACTGAAGTAGCAGACCGAATATTCCTGGTACTGGGTACACACGAATACTCTCAGTCTACGTATATAATAGCTCTGTGACTCTCGTGGGCCCTTTTGGGACTCACTTCCTGCGGTAGGAGCTTTACGAATTTAAAATGGGAGAAGGAAAATCCTCGTTACGTCTCGATGCATACCAGTGGACCCAGAGTTATACGATTAATTCATTCGATGGGTCAATAACGCTGCTCTTACACTTATTGTGCTCTGACACTATTTATTAAATTGTGAATTCAGTGGTGGAATATTTTAGAAAATTGCCAATTCTAAAGTAAAATATTCTTTTTAAACTTTTATCCTTCTCTCTGGCACGGTAAGCCAAGTAATTGGATTGGGTATTTTGGAATTTATCGTTCCACGCCAATGCTTCCTTTGCATAGGACCTCTCTCAGACTGTTCTCTTGGTTCCTGCCGATTGGAGTATACACGCGATTTTCATGTTTTTCTCTTCTGTTCTGTCGACTTTGCCGATAAGGAAGAGAATTAAATAAAGTAACAAAGCGACCCGAACGAAGAGAAAGTATTTTAGGTATCAAGTATCCCGGAACGATCCTGGTGTATGGGCGCGCGTAATGGCTTGGTGGCTGTTCGAATAATCGTTTCCCTTTATGCCATTGAAATATACAAATTTATTAATATGGAATTCCGCGTTTTTACAGATCCTGTGGTCAAGGGAAACGAGAATATTGACGGCAATCTCGCTACTGGAATCTCGTCGCGATCCTTCTTGACTTTACTACTCCTTTTCTGCACAATCTACGTCCCGTTGGCGGCCTAATTTCATACTGACGAGTCCTAACCGAGAGGAAGAGGATTGAAACGAAGAGAGAAAAGGATGCTGAAGGATTTTTCCTCCCGACCGGAATGACGTTCTGAGCATGCGTGAGCGAGAGGGAAAGAGTGATATTGGGATTGAAAGAGAGAGAGAGAGAGAGAGAGAGATCCGGACAATTGTAATGCATTTCTATCTAGCGAATCTAGTGATCCTGGAGGAGATAATCATGAAATCCTCTTTGCTTGGACGATTGAATTTTCTCGACTGACGCAGGAGGCACGAGAGAGCATGACGAAAAGGCATAAGAAAATTAACAGAACGTTATAAGCGATAACTCCCTGTCACAGTCACTCGGTGTTCGCCTTAATTATACAAGGTGTCACGTCAGTCCAGGATAATACATCATTCCACTATTGCCATATCTCGAGGGTGACCGGACAACCGTGAAGTCACGTTCTACCGCGTTAATACGTAGATATGAGCTGGATGATATCGAACGACGAGAGAGGTACAGGATACCGTGTGACAGAGAGTGAGAGAGAAAGTATGCTTTTTCACCGTGACGAAAATATTTCGAAAAAATTTCTCAACTCTTTGATTTCTTGAACATTAGCTTTCCTCGTTCATTTCTATACAATGCGTTTAAGTGCATACATGTGCACGCTATGGCACATTTAACGCAAGCGCGTGTCACAAATGCGGCCTCACGGTCGCACGTGTCTTGTAAGATAAATAGAAGTTAGCAAAGCGAATAGTTTGCGAGGGCGAAGTCGTGAGAGAGAGAGAGAGAAATAAAGAGAGAGATGTATTGAAATGTGCAAGCAGAGAAAAAACATGGCAGCAAGACAAGAATATATATAGCGTATAACGAGAGTGGTATAAAATTCCTTGGAAACTGTGCGTTAATATCTGCCAAGACTTGGGACTGCCAATCCGAAGAGAGTGAGTTAGTGGAGGGATGGATGAATGAATTAGTGAATGAGAATGAGAAGAAGGGGGAGTCAGGTGTTTGGATAAGAAATTTCAAGTGGAGATATTAAAAGCTGATGCTTTTATACGCTGGTAAATTTTTCATGCACGGTTTTCTGCCCTTTGCAAAGTGCGCGCGCGACGTGATGAAAATCGAGAGCGAACTCCAAGAATAGGCGGGATCTAATAATATCGCTATAAATATGCGTATAAGCGGAGCCGTCAATAAGAGCGCGTCGAAACGCTTCCTCGTTACTTGGTCGAGCCTCTTTTTTTTTCGTACATTTGACCTTTATTCGTCATTTTTTCTTTATAACTATCTTTCTCTTTTTCTTTGTCTCCTTCTCCGTACTCTCGCTTCTTCTTGGTCACGTCTCTTACGTTAGAAGTGTTTTGGTGCCTTTTTCAATGTCCTAGAGTCACTACACACTTCCTTACAGTCAAGAAGTTTTGAGGCCTCAATCGATGCAAATCTATAGCTGTACCAAGTGTTACGCTCTCTCCTTGTGAACTCAGGGGCTCCTCGTTACTTTATTCTTTTTTTTACTTCTATTGCCGTATCCCTCCGTCGCTCTCTCTTTCATTTTTTTTGCCAGCAAACTCGTCCGCCCTTAATTCTCACGAGTCGTTCATTGAATCCAATTGTGTCCGCGAGGGCGGAGTGAAAAGAGGACGTGGTACGGGACAGAGGCTGTGGGAAGAGAGGGTCGCAAGAGAATCTAGAGAGAGAGAGAGAGAACTTGTGTGTGCATGAAAAGGATAGGAAACAGATGGTGAGTGAGAGGAAACGACGAGGTTAAGAATCTTCTTGAATTCAGCGTAGGTTGAACTGTACCGTGCTTCTAATTGGAAAGGCTGAAGTTTCGACCGCGCTTCTAGAGTTTGATTGGCGACCCGAATTCTTTTTGTCCTCTGAATTCCGAACAAATTTAGGCTGTTTGCTCGGACGCGCCGCTTCCACGTCACTTTTGCGGAACGCGTTATTTTTCCTCGGCGGGAGAAAAAGTGAGAGGGACGGAGAAAGGGGAAAAAAAATAATCCTTAAAAGCTTGTGTGAGAAAGAGGCGTGGGAAATTTTCATGGTGAAGTTTTTTATGTAAAAAAAAAATTACATGCAAATACCCATAGACGTCGACGGGGTTTCAGGATTACAGGGAGATAATGGACGGGGAGAAATGAAACCGTAGAAAATAAGAAAAAGAGGGACGAGAAAACAGTTAACGCAGAGTGCCAGTGACTAAGATACGAGTGACAGAGAGAGAGAGAGAGAGAGAGAGAGAGAGAGAGAGGGAGAGTGATTTAATTAGTAGTAGAGTGACGATTCAATAGAAATAACGAATGGATGCTCAAGGTGGGAGTGCTTGTAAATAGAAGGGATGCCTGTTGTATTTATATTATTATTTTATTATATTGTATCGATCTAACTAAATTGATCTATTGAAAAGATTCTTGTATTAAGGATGAGTTTACATATAAGTTAACATTGACTATTAAACATGCGTATGTACATTATATATATACAAAAAGTTATATATATACATATTATGAACAATTATATATATATTAGAGAGGAGGGCGTTACCATCTATAATATTCATCGTACGAGATCAGTTCCAAATCGAGGGGCCTGCTTTTGTACCGTGAGCCATAAAAAGTGGCACCTCAATTGAAGAAACTAAAATCGAACGACGATATGTCACAGCCAGAGCATAAGGGCAACATATTGACAAGTGGCAAAGATCCTTTGGTGATTAGAAAAATTTATATTAAAAGAAAAAAAGAAATATATATATATATATCGTTACAATCTACATGGTAAATGCTTCCTCAGCGATTGCCAGCTACTTTCATCTGTTTGGATGACAGAAGAAGAGAGAGATAAAGAAGGAAAAAGATAAGAGTAGATATTTCTTCGCCACTCTCATTTTCTCGTACATGTTCTCGGTGTCGTCTGGGTCAAGAAAAAAAGATATTGAGAAAATTGGCGGGATATCTTATATTAATTTCTTTCCTTTATTTCCGCACTTTCTTTGTCCTCGGCTCGTCCGACTCGGCCACTATTCAATTTATTGTATATAATCGTGTTAAGTCTCGTTTCTATAATAATATACATAAGTTATTAGTCAGATATATAGATCTATACTATCGACATTATATTATCCCTGTTGGAATCTGTAATTTAATAAGGTTTTCCTCGACCTGGCCTAGAGAGAACCCAGTTCAAACCAAACGCCATATTCACTATCGACAAGACTACCGGATTCTCGAGATTATTGCCTTTTTTACGAATTAATATGCTCGCTCGCGGGATGCAGAACGGAAAAGAAATTTAAATAGTAGCAACCGCTGTAACTGCACCGCCAATAACACGCCTGTAACCCACAGCGACTATACAGGAACTCTAACCGTACAGCAAACACGAGAGCCTTCTCTATTAAAGACTGCCCTCCTGCCTGAAACGATACAATCAAAGAATACGAGGACTTATTTAAGTGATCGCGTGCATCGTTTAATACATTTGCCTGGTGCGCGATATAAAACACAGCAATAAGTGTTCCCAAGTGTCGTTACGTGTTACAAAGAGAGTGTGGTTGGCGACCGTGTGAAATACTTGAAAAACCAGGAACGTCGTTGTACATTTGTGGGGTTATGTACGATCCGCTGGGGTCAGTATTGTTTAATATCTTTATCCTTGACTTTTTATCCGAATCTGTAGTCTTCTTTCGGTTTCCTATGTCTTTGTCGAATTCTCTTGTATACTGAACTTACCAATTTGTATTTTCGTATTTGTCTTTTTCCATCGCGCAATGATGCTTCTCTCGTGTCCCAGAGTGACTTTCCATATGTTACCCACTTTATGATAAAGTAAATTGGAAAGGTAATCTTGAAAATTTTGTATTACTATATCGCAATATATACTGTATGTCCGTCGTTATCAGTACACACAATCTCTCTCTCTCTTTCGTTTACGCTATCATGTTTAGTCCTTAGTTCGTAAATCGCAACGACTCGTTAGTTAAATGTAGAATTAGTATGTAAAGCCTATCAGATTTGGCAGACGTCTGTGATTATCTATCTACAAAGGTGAAGAATAGGTGTGCAAAGAAAAATTAAATGTGGCAGAAAATCGAAGGAAAAAAGAAAAAAATAATAAGTCAGCAAATAACGACCTACAGTAACGATACAGTAGTGTAACGGATATTTCCTTTCGAATTAATTGTTGAAATTCCTTTAGCCGTTCGAATAACCCGCACTGTCTGCGTCCACGCCGATAACGCGCGAATCTCCATACGTTCTTGCGTCAGTTAATGATAATGAAAATAAAGCGAGGAACACTAGGAGAACGGAAAAAGTAGTCAATGCTCGTGCGAGAAATTTATTATGGGAGCGTTTTACTCGACGTGGGAGGTGCCAGCGGGAATTAACGTGTTTCACTTGGCGAGTGTAAATATAACATATATATGTATGTACAGCTTTTCCTAAGCGTCCTTTCGTACTTTGGCAAAATGAGGCAAGAGCGAGAGACGTTATAAAAAGAAGAGTATAATAAAGGAAAATAGAAAAGTAAAAATATAACGAAACATTAGCGGCCTAGCTACACGCACTCTACGCACAAAAGCGCTACGTTGATTGAACAAATTTTTCTCGTGTGGCAGTGGCAGACCTCATCCTCTTGGCAGGATACACCTCGTCGGGCCTTGAACCAAGTCGAGTATCGCCCTCCGTTGAGATATACCGCGAGTCAATGTATTTTGCACGGTAGTTTGAAAATATCATTATAACAATAATATAAATAATAACGAATGTTTAAGCGCGGAATAGGATTATCGTTGAATTCTGACGATCTTTCTGAAAATTCGAAAAGTTTCATTGAACTCCATGGACCAGGATTATTCCTGCGGGAGGTACACTGTACAGAGCGGAAATTATAATGTATGCGAAGACGATTACTACTAATAGTATATATAAATATATATATATACATACATATATATACGAAGAGACGAGAAAGGTTTAGAGAGGAATGTAAGCAATTGATTATATTACTATAAATGTTAAGAGAATTTAAGGGAATTATTAATTATTGTCAGTTGAGTCGGAGTGTGCGAGGATTCATATGACGTTTGTAAAGAGAGGATAATTATGATGATTGTAAAGAGAGACAGAAGTGAAGAGAAGAACAGAAAATGTTTGCTGCGCGAATGGTGAATAAAATAATCTGCGATAACACAAAACTCCCCATTTGTTAGTTTCTTTTTACAATGTTTGTATAGTACTTAGATCGCATTTACAAGTATTAGGATATCTTATAGTTCCCATCCGTTAGCTAGAATTTATTTATTTATACAGAGAGACTTGCGTGAGTCTGGCTCCATCTGGCACACCGCCATTTTTACTGCTTATTATAAATATGTACATTAAGCTGTGACGCATTTCTAGCACCATCGCCAGATAGTCACTCTTACACTGAACGTGTAAAAAGCACCGGTAAGAATTGAATTTAGGCTAAAAAAGTCTCCAGGAGCTTTATCAAGTTTTCTATTCCCTCCAGGTAGTTTGTGTCGACGATGTCACTCTCCGCTGGAAACACATGGGTAAAGTCTATCATACTGATGCGTACCCAGTTCTGCTTCTCCTCCGGCGTAGTGCTTAATTCGTCCAGCAGAGTCGCATACTCCTCCTTTATCTTTATGATATCCTTATCAAAATTATTACACAAGGAGTGCGTACGGCAGAGCTTTCCGATGACCATGTTCAGACCTTTTCCACCGGTACTAGTACGGTCTAGATTTTCGTACTGTGTACGGTCCGGATCGTGATGACGTAAAGTTAATGGCGGAGTACCAGGCCTCGGGCTGCCTGGTTTCTGTTTATCTGAGCTTGACGTAGATCTTAAACTTCCGCTTCTCTTCAAGCTCTGCGAGCGCTTCAATGCGTTCTCCCGGTTCTTCCTTACCAGGGCCGGTGACAATGGTGGTGTCGTTGCTGGCGAGAGGTTTTTAGCCTTGGTGACGAACAATGGTCCATTTTTAGTTAGCTGACCCGAGAATCCAGTGTCGCAGGAAGATGAGCAAAAGGAACTCGTTCTTAGAATACTTGGGGACTTCAAATAAGTGTCGAAATTCATTGGTCCAATACCACTGGGTGACATACGACCCTCATTGGATAATGTCTTCATGCGAATAGTGTGTCGCAACCTCTTGGCGTCGTATGCTAGTAGAACGGAACTTGAATAGAAGCGTAGTTGTTTTTGAGAACGAAAGAAGCTCAGGATCTTCCAGAGGTGTGAGAGAAATTGTAATACTAGATCGCGGCAGGGTGGATTTCCTGGTGTACCGTTGAGGAAAATCTCCATAGCTGGAAATAAAGATATGGTATAAGTTACGCAATCGATATTTAGTTTTGAGGTTATACCTTATATATGTAAAACTTTTACCATCCACAACGGATTCTTTGTTCAGCTTCTTCCCAAAATCCTTTCCGTACTTCTTCACGTAACTGGAAGACAGTCTGTAAATCTGAAATCCTGGTATACAGAAGCCATAGGCTTTTTTAGACTCTACATATTTTCTCTCCTCTGCTGCTTTCTTCTCAGGACCTGCCAACGGATCCCACGTGCGTTTACCAATCTTGACGTCCATCACGCAAGGTTCGGTCATGCCGGCTGTGATGTCTTTGAGCTTAAGGAATTTAACTCCTATAAACGATAAACATATTAAATAAAATTTGCTTATTTCTATATAATAAAAAAAAATCACAAAAGACTAAGTCCAATGGATATTCTCACGTCTGTTAAATATTTCCAGCTCAATAGTGCCATGATATGACGGCGTATACTGTCGAAGTTCAGCCATTAAGGGATCCCTGGAATCCTGCAGCCTCTCATAAAACGCAATCTCCCTTTCTCCCAGTAAGGGCTGCTCCACTGGTTTAAGGACACAGCCATCCCCAGCCCGCAACATTCCTGAACGATAAGGCAGTAACATTATGAAATAAATCAGGTAGAAAATTTTATACCTATCTTAGAATATCCTTACCCACAGTATCCTTCTTGTCACCAAATGCATGTCCGCCCACTTGTGAATCCAAGGGCGCAATTCCATCCGGATATTTATGTTCAATACGTGCCGCAGCTAGATCCAATTTCAACTTGGATGGTTTACCACGTCTACGTAGTCTCTCTCCAGGTTGCAATTGTGGTAGCGTCGCCATAACGGTAACACCGATATCACTCAGTATAAAGTCGCTTCTACCAAATGAACAGAGAAATATTATCACTTTGAGGAGAAAAAAAACAAAAAATTAATTACGTAAAGCTTTCATAAGAAAAAAAGAAGAAATCCTTTTGATCTTTATAATACTTAGAACAAAGTCTCTTTTCAATCACTATACTTGGTTATGTTTATCTGATCTAATATCATCAATCAGTAGTCAGTATGCACTTTAAGCTATGAATTTATATCTGTCTGACTCTATCGGATGACTACAAAGAGGTTTCTTAGAATGAACTGTACGCCTTAAACGGCACGTTTCACTGCGTTTAACCTCGACTAAGAAGATGATAGGCTGGGTCTTATTTCTCATACATATTCATTTCATTAGCGCAATCATTGAAAAGCCTGTTTGTCTTGGCCATGAGGAGAATATGACACACGTGGAGAATTGCGTCTACGTTATTGTGAATCTATGACCTGCCTATGAATACTAGATGCATAATAGTCATGGGGTAATTGGTACACAGGTACTCAAAATAAATACAATTTGGAAACGATAACGTAAGATTAAGACATTTTATCTGCAGAAATATCTCATTCATTGATCGATCGTATCGAGTCTGATGGGGATTTCCGTTTTGATAAGAAACTCAATTAAATTAGAGGCGCTATTTTGTTGCAGAAATCTTCCAGGGGAAACTAATACCATTAGATGAAGTAAATTACAGGAGGAGAATCTACTGGAGGATTTTATTGGTACATTGGATCTCTAACAATTCTAGCGACAGTATATATATCGTTAAAAATTAACAAGCAGGTACGGTAGCGTTATTTGTTTATATTGTATATTTACCAGATCTATTAGTCGTCACTTATCCTGTCTCACTTTTCAATTATTTTTTCCAGGCATCTTACAACGTTGTAGCGCGACAGTCCTGGATAGTCTGGATTATTTAACTGTTACTCAGCGTTGAGTGAGTATAACTTTAATCTGTGACAATTTATATGGCGCAAAGCTGTGTTCTTTCGGGCGAATGCGAGGTATGACATTGCCAGCAGGAAACAGCCCGGCAAAGTTTTTTTTGCAAAAAAAATTGTGGGAGCTCGTTAAGTCGTTTTAGCACCAGATAAGGTGACGTGAGAAGAGTCGTTATCAGAGTTGATTTATTGTTGTGGATAAAGGCTGGCAATTATGATGCAATTAAGAGATTCATCAAGATATGTAAGCAGAGGATGAGGATGTAGGGAGATCTGTATTTTCCGCATGACTCGTGAACACTTCGAACTACGTATTACGTGTGACAAATATTTTTTATTTACTTAACGATAGTACAATTAATAATTCTACAGACAAGAGCCTATTTGTAACGTTATATTACGATATTGAATTCATTGTTTGTCTATGCGGTCCACTTTAAACATCTTGTGTCCAGATGGGTGCCTAAACATTTTGTAGAACAGTATCGAGCACCGCAGGGAATACAGGTGTAGTTACTGGGGAAACCACAAACCGCACAGAAATGTCTATCGGGAAATCGTGAAGCCGGTGCCTGCGCGGATGCGTAGTTGGGTGGCGTTCGATTAAAATTTAATTCCTCCTCGACCAGTTGAGCAAAAGTTTTGCGGAATCTTTGCTTGTAATATTCGGCTGATTTTGTCTTCTTCTTCCTGCCCGCGCCTCTGCTGTCCAAAGACTCTTGGAACTTGGGCACCTTTTTGCTCATCACTGAAACGGAGCATTTTGACAATGACTTTGGCTAAACAGTTATGCGTCTCTGTTTTTTTTTTAATGTTCGGGTAAATACCTAGATCCGCGTGTGGATCATCGTGGAAGTTATCCTGCTCCAATGCCTCCAAAGCCTTCCTCTGTCTGCGCTTCCGTGCCGCCTCATCCAGCACTCGTTTCTGGTAGGCATCCTTTATACGACCTGATTCTCGTGCAGCCATTTTGTTTTTTAATTAACTTCTGTTGATGATGTTAGTTGCCCTTTTCAGCAAGTGGAAATGATATTTGGTCCATAAGATCGGCGACTTTTGCTTGTAATGTTTCTAAGATATCTGCTGAGATAAATAGAAATCTCTCGTCCAAATCCTGAATGATGAATTTTCTTCCCAGTGCGAATGTGTCGTCCAGATGCAAGAGGAACTGTTTCATAGCCGCGTCACTGTCAAAATCCCCATAAACTTAAACACTGTAGCCATTTGCTTATTTATAATTAGACAAACATAACAAAAGGCAGCATGTCCAAACGCAAGGGGGTCTCTGCCGATGAGAAACGAGTACGAATGCTTCAATTGTTTTATGAGAAGAAAGAGTTCTTTACGCTGAAAGAACTGGAAAAGATTGCACCTAAGGAGAAGGGTATTGTAGTACAGTCTGTGAAGGAAATTCTTCAAGCTTTGGTAGATGATGGATTGGTACGATCTGATAAAATTGGTACTTCGATATATTATTGGACATTCCCAGGGTAAGCAGAATGAAATAAATGTAACTTTTTTATAATCGTGTTTGTTAGGATTATTTAAAATGTATATTATGATTACAGTGAAAACATCACTGCGATAGAGCACAGAGTAGCTGAAGGAAATAAGAAAATAGTAGAATTAGAATTTAAGCTAGCCAAGCTTAAGGAAGAGTATAACAATGAACAGGTATTAATTATATTCAACAATGTCTCTAAGATTCTTATGCACAAAAAACTTATAGACAGATAAAGAGGATACTGCAGAAAGGCAAGAACTATTGAATGAAATTGCTATACTACAAGAAAAAGAGAATGAGCTCAAAAAACAAATAAGTAAATTCAGTGATGCAGATCCAGAAGTCATTGCTCAAATAAATGACAAAGCTCAGGTAATAAACCATAGGCCATAAAACTAGTTACAATCTATTCAATGAGTTCCAATGTTTCTAGTTATACAAGGATGCAGCGAATACATGGACAGACAACATATTTGCGCTTCAAAGCTGGTGCAAACGAAAATTCGACATTGCCGAAGAGACTTTGAATAAGCAATTTAACATTCCAGAAGATCTAGATTATAAGGATTAGCCATAAGAACACATTTTCAAAAGAAAATGAAACATCAAGTACACTTTTCTATTGTTTCTTAACTTTTAATACATACCACTCGACTAAGATTCCTTTCATAACATTTACCATAGCGTTTCTTTAATCTATTGTAATAAATACTCTAATCACAGTTACATTAACAACAACCAGCTCCCAAACAAGTACTGCACAAACTACGTTTGAAAATGATCTGGATTTCTAGAAACGTTTTAGAAACTTCTAGCCTTGTACCACAAACCAAGTGGGTGAACGGGAGGAAAAAAAACTTGTCCAATTCTCAGGGATTTAATTTCCTTACATGTAAACCATGCTTGAAATCACGAGAATGGAATAGACATTGCGCGCTATCTGGTGCGATATTTTGATAACATAACAAGAAATACTACGTCAGTCTGGATTGAAATATCTAGAATTGAGTCACAGGAAACGCTAGCATCACACATCGATCCAAGCATCTATTCGCATCCAGACTACGTGCAGTCTACGTTCCGGAAGCTATTTCTTCGTGCATTCGCGATAAACAGGTAATTTGTGATTCTAAACTGTTCTACCACTTTATTAACTCATTCATCAATTAAATTAAATTAACTAGTTATATGAGTTAAAAGTTGACTTAACTAGTTGAAAATCTATAGCTTTGAAATGTCTGATTCTAGCATGTCTCGTATTAAAGAAATATCAGAAACCACGTGCCTTCCGCTGTATGGGAAAAGTCTGATGAAATACCAATTAACTTTTCAAAGCTTTTTAAACTAATTTATTCGACTAAGATTTAGGTTTATCCTATTGCTATTATGTAACATGGGCTGGCCGTGAGCCAGTGTCCCACTGTCTTACTTGTTAGAGCCTGTCGTCGTAGTTTCCCAGAGAAATAACTCTAAAGCGGTTACTGGTACTGTATTCATAATGTGGTTGCAATTTCTTATAATTACTTCTACCTACTTTTCAAATTATCAATTTACCCAGCAACGGGCTCAATTATCTTCAATGTGTTAAGATTGATCGATCTTACGATAAAGTGAATTGAATTCCAATGAAAGACGACGTCGATTTTTCTGTTAATCCCGCGCCTGCTCAATAATGCTTACGCAAGCGCGTGCTTTGCAGTGCATTGCTGCATGATGAGATTAGGAATATTCTTTGTTAATACTTTAGAGTCGCTCAGATCTATGCAAGTCGTCTGTTTGACCTTTGAATGATGAATGAAGTCATAGTCATTGTTAAATGTTACACTAAAAAAGGGTATTCTCTTCTGCCGTATGTGCATTTAAGAGTGGAATATTATGTGTCTTCCATGGCTACCTTTCAGGGGCACTGGCTATTTTTAAAAAGAACTTTATTGGCACCAGCTCTTATCCCATGACGTGGATGCTCACGAGATGCGTGTTCACGCACTGATATAATATATATTGTGCAACTTGTCATGCATGTCCTTCAATGAACTATCAAGTACAGATTTGAGTACTGATCTTAAATTTTCTTTCGTTCATGTGTTTTAGAACATACTATCAAAATGGGAGTACCTGCTGGTGATGCTGAGAAGGGAAAGAAGGTATATAAGATAAAGAGATTGTTCAGAGCCTATAAATTCTTGCGAAGGATGACGTAATCAGATTTTTATTGATAATTTTCTCTGTCAAGGTCTTTGTACAGAGATGTGCTCAGTGCCATACTGTAGAAGCTGGTGGCAAACACAAAGTTGGACCAAATCTACATGGACTCGTCGGCAGGAAAACAGGACAAGCAGCAGGATATGCTTACACCGATGCCAACAAGGCTAAGGGTGATTATAAATTTCAGATTTTTGCTTCGAATAAAGTAAAGCATAAATTTATCTGACGTCTTTTGCCATAGGTATCACTTGGAACAAGGACACGCTGTTCGAATACCTGGAGAACCCAAAGAAGTACATTCCGGGCACAAAGATGGTGTTCGCTGGATTGAAGAAACCCCAAGAGCGTGCCGATCTGATCGCTTACCTGGAACAAGCGACCAAGTAAATTTCGTACCGTCAATTATTATTATACGGTACCAAATGTCAGGCGCTCATGACGGGTTACGAAGTAACAATTAGTGCAATTATCATCGACTGTTACTTCCTGGAGAACCCGTATCATAAACTCACTCCCAACTCTTCTGGTACTCGTAAGCGTTCGCGCAACAGCTAGTAAAGAATTGTTATTGTTAATAAGTAGGTAAACAAATTATTGTATCTATGTACATTAACGGGGACTGGGATCACTCCAGTGCCAGTCCTTACGGTTCGAAGAAATTCGTATGCCGGGTGCTGGACGCCACGGTTTCCAGACACCGTACAATTATTTATTCTCATTGTACCGATCATGCTGCATTATCGGCCATTATTAGTATCTATATCTAAATACAAATTTGACAACTGACAGTAACATAAATAACCGATTAATATTTAGATATCCCACACTCAGACCCCGTTACCGTCCATAATCTTCTATCCCACATTATCTGTTCCCATTATGCTCGGTTACTTTCTTCGATTATAATTGTAGCTCAAATCCATACACGCTATTCCCATTCCATGGAACTTTGATAAGAATTCAGCCACGGGAAGGATGCGGTTTTTACTGGCAGGAAATGGACTACGCTTGCAGATCAACTGGTACCTTGGTAGACGATCATTCTGCTTCTTCAGAGGGTTGGTCGCGACATTTCGTGGCGGCAGCGTTCGACAAACTACTGGCGATAATATCCTCTTGTGTTTTCATTTCGCAACTGAATTATAGTCGTTGCTCAGTAGATAGGTTCTTATCGTCATTTCGTGTGTACAACGCATTGCTCAGTGAACGCGAGTGGGATTGCATAGTTTGATTCTCTGTGGGACTGTATTATTATAAACGTGAGAAATGAGCAGTTCGAATGACTCTCTTTTAGAAACGGTAGAGCCGAACAACGATAGTGGTTCGATGACGCTGAAAATCCGAACACCGCTGAGACTGCGGCTAGTGCGAGTCTTCAGTTCAGGATCCCTGAAAAGTCCCAACAGCTCCGGAGCCCCGAGTAGATGTAACTCTGTGAACGGCAGCCCAGAACGTTCCAGTCCACGCGAAAGAACCTGCTCGACGAAGTCCCGATATTCCTGGCAACCACCATCCCGCAGCAGCGACTCCTCTCCAAGATCCCCAGCAGCCGTTTCGGCGTCCTCGAGAACCACTCCGTGGAGTTCTACCTTAAACTCGCCAAAGAGTCCTTTGACTCCTACAACTCCTGGACGTGACACCACCAATTGGTTCGTCGATTTGAGGTAAGCTGTAATCATTTATAATTTATCCTTTCGTCAACCGTATACTAGGATTATGTCATCGCGTGCCATCACGTGGTGCATTAACGGTGATGGGCGCACCTAAGTCTGTCATCAGTTGGCCAGGGTGTTACCAGTACCCACATATTTATACCAGTATATACCAGCCGACAGTGGAATACCAGAGTCTTCAAAGGCCCAAAAATCCTGAAGAGTCCTCATACTTCTGGAAAAATGCATCTGAACTCCGAACCGAAGAAGCAAGCACGTCCCTTCAAGGGTGAAGATCATCGTTACACAAGAGGAATGTAGTCTAAATGAGAAAGGATATCCTAGAAAATGTACAGGCAAGCTATTGTCGAATCCTAGCTGCTTATAACAGTTCTAGCAGGGGAACGTGGGTCGATGAAGCATCGGTGAGCGTCGGCGCTGCGAAGTGCAGAGATGGGAAACTCCTCCCTCCACGTATATTATATTCCCCACTATCAGTTCCAGCCGTGAACTCCTCTCTACGTATGTATCGTATCTACCTACATAAGCGAGCTTGTCCTCTCCACCGCGTGCGTGCGTCACTGTATTCTCGCACATGCGTCCAACCGAGCAGCACACGAAAGCACATCAAGGAACATCGTGCTCACCGCGGGATACAACGCGCAGCGCTTCGAACCAGTGCGACACGGTTTTCGTCAGGTCCAATAACGCGACCTTTTCTGTACATATAGCAGTTTATTCGCTGAAACCAATAAAGCGAGGTAAGTCTCGCGTTCACGCGCGCTTCCCTACATACATTTTATTCGTGCGTTCTCAAATTTTTTTTTAATTGACTAACCAACACACTGCGGATAACGGCGATAAACCAGCTACAGAGATAAGATTGTACACCCTTTTTACTTTAGGGCGTAGAAATAAAATTAACTTGACCCGATAAAAAGAAAATAGAAAAATGATCAATCGTTAATTTTTATCGTTAATATTAATACCGTATAACAAGGATACGAGTATACTGTATTCGAAGAATAGACGTCGATGACGTGGAAAGTTTACGAAGAGAATTTTGTAATCCAGTGAAAGCGAAGTTCTCGTTTCTTTCTCTTTCCGTCTGAGCGCGTGTAAACATTGAGAAACTGTATACATCGAGACTCACCTTTAATTTCGTTACGCTGCAATCCGCAACAACGTTAAATCGATCGACGTCGTCGCGACGCGGGCTTTCCTGACGCCACTAGTTGTAGGGACGACCTCGGTTCCGTGCAGGATTTAGGGCACGGTGTTTTCCACTGTTACATACGTACATCTGTGCATATGCTCTATATGTATATGTACATGTAAAGAGTATATCTAGCATCCTGCATCATGAGGCAAAAAGTAGGTCTAGGGAATCAGCTGACTGGCCTCATAGGCGCGTGCGCTCCGTTTTCTCGTTTGAAACACCCACTCTCCGTTGCAGACTAACAATAAAGACCCACTCGCTAACACTCTACTTGAAGTGACGTTAGCGCATCGAAAATTTAATTCTATTATGGTGCAACCATTATTTTCTGCTTCACCTGAATATCAAGGGCCCTTTTATACACGTGGATAGGTTCGACATAGGCGTCGCTGTGTGCACGGGACATGTGGCTGCTTAATAACAATGATAATAGTCCGTGACATAGTACAGTGGCACAACAACTTGGCTTTACCACAATCCATAGGACGGTGAATTAGTATCACCAGTGCAGGAATACAGTAGTCGCAAACATAGTAATAGCAAAAGTATATAGTATTCGCGTGACCAGATTCTCGCGTAAGCGACCTTTATAACGATGCGTAATGATCTAACGACTGAGCTGGATAGCGCTTAGGTGGATAAACACAGTCAAGGACATTTGGAGCATTTACGTATAAAGCCATGGCCCCTGGTCGATCTTAACAATGTAGCGAGTGCCACTTCGTGAAGTCGACGTAGGAACTTGGATTAGATGTGCAAACTCATAATGGATCCCTGTTGATATTTTAGAATGAAATACTCGCCGCAGCAACAGCAGCAGCAGCAAAAGGAGAGGAAGTCCGAGAGTGACGTCGGGTCCGTCGAGGTGACCCCGTCTCATGCTATTCGGGAATCTACCAAGTCCGAGACTAGCACCACTTCCGGTGGTTCGTCTTCCCGAGTCGTTGAGTCAGCCGGACTTTTTGCCTGGATGAGGGTCTTTCGGCTAGCCTCGATACTACATCAGACTGGGTGCTAGTCGAATTGCTATACGCCGGACGCCATTTTAAAGCCTGATATATATATTATATATATGCACACTTATGTACCATGCACGTTCACCTGAAACACGTTGAAGATTGTGGAAATGGAGTATATCCTGGTGCGAATATGCTGAAAGCATAGTGAGGAAGAGGATGACGAAGACGAAGAATCGAATTATAAGGATGCAAATGAATTAAGCATATATGAATCTACGTGCTGACGTATATATTTATATGTGTGTGTATATATATATAGATATATCCTGGGCGTCGTCTTCTTGTAGGATGCCCTACATAGACTAGTTAGTGCGTGCCGAATTACGCAATTAACGGCTATGATATATGTACATCTCGTATAGGTTATGTTCCAAGGCGCAGCGTGTCTCCCCAATTGTAGGTCGGTGCGATTCTAGAGAAGAAATAACGGAATGTGCGATAAGTGATAAGGATTAATATTGAGAGGGTGCTGAAAAGCTTAACTATACGCACTCACTGCACGCAGAGGCACAAGAAGTTATCTGTACCTATGGTGGAGGAATTTTGGATTCTGGTTGATATAAACGCGTAATTGCTAATACGTTAGCAGTTACGGTTTTGTTGACGTTGAATTTTGTGAACATATCTCAAGACGGCCAATGATTGGTTAAGGAGAAGGGTTAAAGAAAATTTAAAGAAAGGATATATGCATGGAGCTCTCTGGTGTGTCACTCGTTCGGTATTGTAAAACTGGTATTTATGGTAAACTGTATCTAGGATTTTAATTAAGCCGTTATCCATAGTCTACGTGGTACATCGGAATTACAGTTTACCAGGAATCCGTTGCCTCGTTGACAACTGTACAAATTCGACGGCGATCCAAGAACGACGCCTGTCCACGATCACCAAATTGTATCGCTGGGTATCAAAGAATTGAGAATGAGCAACAGAGTATCACCGACCGCGCATCACCTCCCGGAGGAAGCGTATCTTCAGCTCTAGCAATGTTATCTCGTTGATCGTTACATCGGTATATTTTATGAATACGCAAATCGAGTAATAAACCCGTTTGCTTTATCAGGTGACTAATGCGATTCTTAAATATCCCGCAGGAATTCCATGTCCTGTGCCTTGTATCCTGAGAATTGATTCAAAAACTTGGTATTTACCAGTAAGAACGCCGTGAGATCTGTTTTACCCGCTGTAGTAATTATTCAATTAGTGCAGGCCTGAAATCGCAGATGGCGCTGCGGTGTAGTTCCAAATTATTACAGTAGTAGAGAAGAGAAGATATCTGACGTTTCCCAATGGCTCACTATGTCGTGGACACTCCTAGCCCTCCTGAACTCCTGACAGATAGGTATAATAAGCCCGAGAGGCGCGCTTACCGCTGGTAAAAGCACGTGCGCGGACCTGGATCGCCCGGGCGATGCGGCACGCTCGCAGGGCGCGCAGGAGCAGTCGGGATAGTGCACGCAGGACACGAGGATCATCTTCCTCCGCGATATCCTGAGAATAAAGTTTACCGAGCAGATACGAGGTGGATACCAACGAGACTGAGGACACGCGCTCAGCGCGTTCGAGCGGTTCGGAAATGCGTCGACCGCTGATCCGTCACCTCTCCGAGGGAGGTGCAGCTAACAGGTCAAAGGTCCCCGTAGTAGTTGGCTACGGGAACAGCCGTGACTATCATCATCATCTTTCGAGCTGCGACCTCCTGAAGGTGCCCACGATTAACGTGGGTGGTATCCTGGCACCATCCTCACCTACGGAGACACCAATCTCACTCAGCACTACGTTCCACAGGTAGCTCGAGACAATCTACATATCTATCTAGATATCGTGCTATGTATCTTATTGTTATCTATAGTACCTCACGAGTTGAATATAGCTATAGTACCAGTTCGTTATCTATAGTCATCTATGCTGGGAGGCAAACTGGCAGGCAGGTCGATCCAGCGAGTATGTATTGCGTACCATCCCGAGCCTTCCTGGAGTGAGTGATCCTGGCGTATGGTTGCCCCGTAACGGTTTAATGATCGCTGTCCATTGGAGGGATAGATAGATATAGACGCTGGAAGGGCTGGAAGTCTGTCTCTGTGGGTTAGGTTATATATATCAAAGACCTATCTATAGTCTATGAAATACATATATCTATTATCTATAGCCCAGAGAGGCAGTGCGGAGTAGGTTAGGTCACTGAGGGTGAAAGAGAGGACATCCTCATTCCGGCGTGGATATCGGCCGAGCGGAGATGATCGTTGAGTAACAAATTAGTTCTACCAGGAGGTGTGCGAAGGTTGCGTAATTCGTATTCCGCCGACGAGAGTAGAGAAAAGAACCAGTATAGGGTACGACCTTGTCAATTTCCCTTTCTCTCTCTCTCTCTCTCTCTCTCTCTCTCTCTCTCTCTCTCTCTCTCTCTCTCTCTCTTTTTCATTATACAAAACCCAACATTCGTTATGTATGCCAGTGAATTTACATGAGCAAGTCCAATAGGCTCCATTCTTATTTTCTCTTTTACCTTATATTTTGCTTTACTTCTTTAATTTTGTTTCTCCCTCTTTTCAGTGCCCTCTCTTCCTTGGTTTCTGATGTATACCTACTCCACTGTTATGAGTGTCCAGTACCTGAAGTATAAAAGTGTACACTCTCCAGTCAACTGGACCTAACCCTACTATGCTCTCTGGTACTGACTATATATCTATATATATGTGTGTATACATACATACATATAGTCCCTCCACTCAAGTACCGGGCTATGAGCATTTATCATTGGAGCGTGAAATATTCCGGATCTCGGCTTGACAAATGTATGGCAATTTCGTGACAACCCGGTTCTCCCTGGTGCAGTGGTTGTACACCTTTCCGAACCCTAGCGGGAATCCAGGAGCGTGCTCTCTTCGAGAGTCTAAGAGCAGAATGCAAATAGGAATTGGTACCAGGTGCAGTACGGGATGCCTCTGCACGCTTTGCGACACCTTTGATCCCTGCATCGTGTCTACTAGCTGTGCTCACGATGCCTTTGTCCTAGGTAGCCGCGTTATTATACACTAGAAGGTTGGATCTCACTGAGATGCTTCTGCTCACGTACTGCAAAGAGGATCCACCTACGTAGATTCTGGTACATTTAATTTTTTCTTTCTTTCTCTGGCTCTCTTTATTTCCTGAGAATTCCCATTGACGCGGGCACGTCTGACTGCTTTTATTATTATTTCTTTCTTTGTAGATGGGACACACTGGACTTGATTATGAAACTTTCTTAAGTATTTTATGGATTCTCTGGTATTTCCATGGCATCAGAAGTGACGTAACCCACTCACACAGAGTCCATAAGGAATTTCTTATGGCAAGGGTAGTCAGCGTCACTACGGTATAGGGATATCACGTTGCGTTTTACTCATCAAGGTGAGTTCAGCTCGTAGCCACCCTTATCCGCTTAGGCAGATAGAAGAGGGTCTAGTAAATTCACCGCGGGACTAGGTAACTTTGCTAAATTTCCTGCAGGGACAATAACGTGAGATTGGGTAGGTCGGACGTGCCCTCTGGGATAGAAAAAAGAAAGGATGTCAGAGGGAGGAAAAAACCTGCCGGACCCATTTGTCCACGTGTACCTAGAAAATGTCAGTAATTGACTATTCTCCTCGTTGCACACTAAAATGCACATCCTTCCGCACCCCTCCCGGGACTCTCATCAACCCCACGGGTACTGCGCATAGGTACGTAGCTGGCATAGGTACCATTGGACAAGCCCTCATAGTTATGTTAATTGAATCGTTCAAACAGATTTCATCCGGCGGCCCGAAGGGGTTGCGTGGGGTTCATCCGGACGAGTGAACTTGCACAGTTCGTCTACGACCGCGAAACTCCACCCCTCGTGGGCATTAAGGGTATTGAAAAATCCCTTTCACTTTCTTCGTCCAGGACACACGATAGCATGGATACCCTCGTATCTACCCAGCCCTTCCTGACGAGAATCCTATCCCCAGGGGATGGCTAGCTTGTACCTAGTTACAGTTAATCTTACTAAAGCGTAAAACAAGACCGTGCATCTTGTATCAGCAGACTCGAGGTAAGTAACTTTTTCTCCCGTTCCATCATCAATCGACCACTCTTATTTCACCCAGCATCCAGAATACTTATGGTCCACGACACCAGTAGAAATGTACGTGACGAACCTTTTACGTAATTTTTGTTTATTTTTTTTTTCCTAAAAATTTTCTGACTCTTGCAGAGATGCAGGTCGCCCCTATACGATCGTCGTTAAGGATATCCTGATGGTCTGATCTTGGATCAGAGATGTGTCACTGGGAAAGGACACCTGGGGTACCCGCTTCTTGGTTATGTCTTCCATCCAGAACGATTAGTCTTGATTACTCCAGGAAGCAAGAGTTTCAATCACTTTCGATCAGAGCGCACTCAGCCATGTAGTGGAAAATAACCTCATAGGAAATTACCAATGGTACCACGTGAAATAGGTACTAGTCTATTATTGTGCGAGCACGCACCCTTGGCGTGTCCCTTATGTGGCAGATAGAGAATCGCCGCGTAAGGACACGCACCTTGAACGGCTTCCTGAGACTGTGGCCTCCACACTGTAGCACAGAAGGGGTTGCAGCCAATGCAAACAAATACTATGGCTGCGTTTATGCCTCGGGAATAATAGTGCGCCCTTCAAGAATCCGGCAAAGCACAGAGCTACAGGGACGTTTGTTTTTCTTTGTCTTTACTTATTATTCGTTTGCTTTGTTTGAACGTTACTGTAGAGTGGCGGCTGGTGAACTGCGCAGGGATGGAGCCCAATGAAATTATTTATCGAATCAAAAATGTATGTGCAAGGCATACAGAACCGGAAAGGGCCAGCAGCCATCCCGTTCCAACCACGTGGAGGATCTCGTTTAATACAATTAACCCATAGTCAAAGCCGAGGTTCAAACTTCCTCCAAATGCGCGCTCACCCTGGTAAACATGCATGCGGTAGGCATATACAATTATGACGTTTCTAATTAATTATTAAGAACAATAATTACAGAAACACAAAGGCACAATTCATTAATCCCCATCTGCTTGGGCACTTGCGCAGCGTCACATTAATAAGGCATCTCATTACCATGGACAGTTTCCCATGGAACATCCGACACCTCTGAGTCTCCACTGCTACTTTCCTACGTATATTAAAGCATATTAAAAACGAATGTTAAAATTACTATCAAGTATATAGGACATCGTGGACCGTTCTATCATCAGGGAATGGAATCCTCCGGGAGAGTTCAATCCGGTACAGGATAGACGGTTTGGCTAAAGCCCGTAAAGGCCGTAGCGCTAGCGAACTCCCTATCGGCAAATGAAAAAGAAGGATAAGAGAGAGAGAGAGAGAGAGAGAGAGAGAGGGACAGTACTGAAGAAGTAGTACGAGCAAGTGAGACAGATGCTCCTGGTGATACGGGCGATAGAGATGGTGGGGCTCCTGAGCTCTGTATGGTTAGTGGTGGGTGGTTGGCTGGCCTGGAGAGGGCACAAGAGAGAGCCTGGTACGTATACCACTAGCAAAGCATTAAGCAAGCACTAAAACAGTCCTCCGGCAGTGCGATCCGTTGTCACGTCTCGTGCAGAGCCACGCGTACTCTCGTCCTGATAAAACCGCTTCTCTTCGTCTCACCAGGAGTACTGGAGTAGGCGCGTTGTAAAGGTGCACATGGTGCGCGATAAAAATAGTGTGGACCAGCCTTCATGAAATTTTATCGAGAACGTACAATATTATTTAGATTTAAAAAAAGAGAGAACTGGAATTGCCAATTCCACCGTATAACGGTCTTAACCGAGGATTCTGATTTAGTGAGAATTTTTATACTGTATCTGACATGACCCGTCGGCACAGATAACCCAGTTTTCGTACGTGAGATAAATAGGAATTTTTTTTTGATCGTTGATACAATAATATCGTTGATACGTATGAAAGACGATATATACGCCTTGAAGAATTGAAACATTGCGTATGCACGCGATGGAGGTGGTGCTCGTGCAATAATCGGGGGCGTGGTACCGTTTGATTCACCCGATACGGTACGATCCCGGGTGTCACCTCTGGATAGTCGTCATTCTTCACGAGGTCGTTTGTTAATTGCGCCATCGGTGTTGACAGTGTAATGCCATAAGGATGCTGAAGATACACATGCTGGATTATATTGGCGACACTGGGTGAGTAGTATCGAACTGAATAATTGGAGGATTGAACGGGGTCATCGTCGGGCGCGAATCGCGGCCAGCGTTTCACCTGGTGAAAACATTTACGCGTTACCTTTTGACGCGATAATGTTATTCCTAACCCGATGGACATTATCGCCTTGGGAATTCCATGCATGACTATCACTGATTGCGGTATAATATATTCTACAGAGGCTAAACAAGAGGAACTTACTTCGAGAAGGGGAAACTCTGTGTACCGGAACTCACGGCTGTGGAGTCTATGGAATTTTTGCCTGGAAAATTGTAACGAGCATAGCTAGTTAAACGCACTTTGGTACATAAAGGGTACACTGTAAATTCACGAGGCGCTTATTATTATACAGACTGCCCACGGGCGCGCGTTCAAATAACACACGGAAATCGCGCTAGAACTCGCCCGCCAGTCGAAAGCCAGGAACGGCGCTAGGCATTATTTGAAATGGAGTCAGGAAAGCGAGCGCGGATGGTTGGAATTTAGAGAAAACGAGTCTCGGGTGCAACGAGCGCTGTGCTTATTCGTTGATTCTGAGGGCAGCCACCTTGTGGTTTACGTGGAAAGCATACGTCGGACGTTCATTGTA